GACCTTGAATTTACCAGGACAAGAAAATGTAATCAGACAATCCTGACAAAGAGCCATCCAGCCATAGATACAGAATCATAGAATCATAGAATCAAAGAGTTGGAAGAGACCTCATGGGCCATCCAGTCCAACCCCCTGCCAAGAAGCAGGAATATTGCATTCAAATCACCCCTGACAGATGGCCATCCAGCCTCTGCTTAAAAGCTTCCAAAGAAGGAGCCGCCACCACACTCCGGGGCGGAGAGTTCCACTGCTGAATAGCTGTCTCTCACAGTCAGTAAGTTCTTCCTAAGTTCAGGTGGAATCTCCTTTCCTGTAATTTGAAGCCATTGTTTAGCGTCATAGTTTCCAGGGCAGCAGAAAACAAGCGTGCTCCCTCCTCCATATGACTTCCCCTCACATCTTTATCCATGGCTCTTATCATGCCTCCTCTCAGCCTTCTCTTCTTCAGGTTAAACATGCCCAGCTGTTTAGGCCGCTCCTTATAGAGCTTGTTCTCCAGACCCTCGATCCTTTTAGCCACCCCTCTTCTGGACACATTCCAGCTTGTCACCATCTCCCTTCAATTGTGGTGCCCAATTGGGAAGGGGTAGTTCTAATCTCAATGGGGAGAACAAAAGACAAATCATAATCCATAGTAAACATATTGATTATAAACCATAAACATTACCCATATAAATATAAAACTTTCCAACAATTATGACATACAGCACCACTAAAAAACGTCATAGAACCTGCTCTTTTTGGTAAAAGCATGGACCACCGTGGCCAAATCTGGCTTTTCGAGGTACAGATGCAGTTGGCACACTAGCTTTATTAATAAAGCTTTATTTATATCCCACCCCCTCTCCCCAAAGGAACTCGGAGCGTCTCACAACAATAAAGACACAGTATAAATAATAATGAACACATAACTAGATCAAAACAGTTATATCAAAACAGCAAATCAAAAGGACAAAACCTGATACACAGAGATGTCACTAAGAAATATAAAACTATATCATAATTAAGGTGTTGTAGCCTGGTCAGATGCTGAGTGCTCAGAAACTGAGGAAGTGGATGCTGGGATAGATTTAGAGGGCCCAGAAGAGGATAGAAGTGGCCTAGAGAAAGTTGTTTTGGAATCTCCTGGCAGTTCCCACGAGACTGGAGAAAGCAATATCAGTTCTCATGAAAACCTGCCAGAAGTGCAGGCTGAGAAAAATGTGGGAGACAAATGTTTGTCTAGACCAGTGGTTCTCAACTTGTGAGTCCGCAGGTGTTTTGGCCTACAACTCACAGAAATCCCAGCATGTTTACCCACTGTTTAGATTTCTCTGAGTTGAAGACCAAAACATCTATGGTCCCACAGGTTGAGAACCACTGGTCTAGGTCAAGGTGCTTGGAATTGTGTAGACAGGGCACTCACTCTCCCCAGAGAATTGGACATAAAGAGAGGAAATGCAGGTGAGTGAGAAATTATATTATGGGAGGTGTGCTGTCGCACGCTGGGCCTGTGCATAAGACTGTAGACTGTGGGCTGTATATCTCCCCGGCCAAGCCGTAGAAGACGAAGCTTTCTACAGGAGCTCTTGGTATTATGTCCTGCATGAAAGGCTTCTCTGTGTGGACTGACCCAAAAAGGCTCTTATTCCCTCCAAAAACCCAAAAAAGGGGGCGGGACCAGGGAACCTAACTATAATTGACAGGTGGCTTGCCCTATGATTGCAGCCAAAAGAAGCCACTTAATCTGCAGAGTCCCTGAAACTTAGGACTACAACAAACATTCAATGCAAAGCAAACAAAATTGGAGCTCCTGGTACAGTTGTACCTGCACAGGAGGGATTGAGGCCTTTCAAAGTGGTTCCTGTTGGTACAATCCTTTGTGATAGCAATGTTTATTCAGGTGAACAGCTCTCGTTTTTTGGTCCTATGTTCTTGGAATTCATGTGTTCAAGTTTCTAAGTTAGTTCTTGCGTCTAGTTCATGTGTTGCATTGGTTGGCTTCCTTGGATTCACGCTATCTTGTATATTTGTGGATGACTCAGGGGACTGTATTTGAAAGGATTTTGGATTTTTGGCTATCTTGGAAATAACCTTTTGAACTTTGAGTCTCTTTTTTTGAATTTGCTTCATTTTTATATATACCGTACTTATCTTTCAATAAACTTACTGGATTACCTGGACAGAGTGTGATTTGTGGTAAAAAGGTGTTTCAGGGCTCTAGTGCAACAATGTATATCCCACTCCCTTTCCCCAGGGGAGCTCAGGGGAGCTTACAGCAAGAGGACACAATGTACAAAATATCAGTCACACTTACAATCCCAAAAAAGTTTAATTCAAAACAAACAAATCGAAAAGACAAATCACAACTCATTGAAGAAAAATAGATCCCAGTAAACATGTTAATTGTAACTCATAAACACCACACATATAAATATAAAACTTTACAAAATTTAAGATATATAGTACCACTAAAAACATCACAGAACCTGCTCTTGTTGGTAAAAGCAATAAAACTCAATTAAAATTAACGCCATTGAAAACCTCCAACCCTTGGTTCACAATTAGCCATTTTCAAATGACTTCTTCCAAAGCCATGTTATCAACTGCTTCCTAAAGATCATTAAAGTAGGGACCATCTATTCTCCACGGAGAGGGTGTTCCAGAGCCGCAGGGCTACCACTGAGAAGGCCCTCTCCCTCGTCCCCACCAGCCATGCTTGCAGCAAAGGTGGGATCGAGAGGAGGGCCTCCCCAGTAGACCTCAGGGCCTGGGCAAGCTTATAAGGGGAGACCTGGTTACATAAATATGACTTCATAGGGAATAACCTGCACTTTGAATTGGGACTGGAAGCTTATAGGCAGCCAGTGGAGCTGCTTTAATAGGGTGTGGTGAGCTCTCTGTACAGGTGCAGCTGGCGCACAATCTTTAATTGTTCAAAGGCCCTCCCAACCATTGCCAACACCTGGGCTTTAAGCATCAGTGCTGAATCCAGGAGGACCCCCAAGCTGTAGACCTGCATCCTTAGGGGGAGTGTTACCCTCTCCAGCACAGAATGCCACCCTATACCCTTATCAGCCTCCCGACTGACCAGGAGGACCTCTGTCTTGTCTGGATTGATCGTCAGTTTGCTAGCCATCATCCAGCCCATTACAGCTGCCAGGCACTGGTTCAGGACCAGAGTGATGTTTTTTGGTTGGAGAGATTGGTCGTTTACAAAAAACATTATCCAGGGGACGCCCAACTGTATTTAATCAGACTTCAAGGAGGCTCTTTCCATGTCCCACATCTCCACCTTGTGAGACTGTGGAGCAGAACAAACAACTCCACATCTGTATGCTTGCCCTGCCTCATGCTCAGAGGAAGAACTGTTTAAAACTACAGGCAATGCTGTCACTGTTGCCCATTTTTGGTCTAAAATTATTTTTAGCTGCTTGTATTCCCTCTATTTTATCAGTTTTATACTTGTTTGTTTATGCAATGCTTTTGACACAAAATAAATAAAAGGACCAGTGCAGCTTCCTTGGATTTAGGTGGAAATGAGTAATAGAGTTGTGTGTCATCTGCATACCGATGGCACTGAACTCCAAAACTCCAGGTGACCTTCCCCAGTGGTTTCATGTAGATGTTAAATAGCATGAGGGATAAGATCGAGCCTTGCGGGACTCCACAAGCCAATCGCTCAGCAGACACCCTCCCAGCACCATCTTCTGGTTTGACCCTCCAGAAATTAGCGGAGCCACTGTAGAATAGAAGGATACAATGGTCGATGGTGTTGAAAACCATTGTGAGCTCTAGGAGAACCAACAGGGACACACTCCTTCTGTTCTCTACGGAGTTCATCCACCAAGACAGCCAAAGCTGTCTCCTGAAGCCAGGCCTAAATCCAGACTGTGATATGTCTAGACAATAGGTTTCATCCAAGAATCCCTGAAGTTGAGTAGCACTCTGCACATGCTCAGAGCTTCCCATTATTCCTTCTAAACTATTTTCCCATTGAGGGGTTAGCACTGTGACTGTCATTTCCACAGGGCTTTGTTTTGAGGTTGGCAGCATGCATGTCTTCCTTGATGGTGTCATCCATCTTTTCTTTGGCCTTTGTCCACATGGACGCTGTTCTGTAATCTCCAAATGCAGTGTTGTTTGCGCTACGGATGTTGGTTTTCTCCTCATGACATGGCTAGACCACCATAGCCTTGCTTCTTGCATTTTCTTGCTGATAGCTTTTATTCCTAGTCTTTAATGGATGTCCTCATTTGGCACACGGTCAAGAAGTGTCAAGCCAAGTGTCCATCTCAGCATTTCTGTTTCCACTGCATGAAGGGCTTGATCATATTTCTTTGTTGCTGGCCAGCACTCTGTCCCTAAGAGGGAGGGCTACTGGGCAAACAACTGTAGTGTATTGTTGTTGTTGTTGTTGTTGTTGTTGTTGTTGTTGTTATTATTATTATTATTATTATTATTATTATTATTATTATATTTATACCCTGCTTTATCTCCCAAAGGGGACTCCAAATGGCTTGACATAAAACATTGGTATCTAATTAAAAATATACAAATATACAAACATTTAAACAGAATTAAATACAAACAGTAATAAAAATTAATTTAAAATCTGAGATGACAGTGTAGATTCATATAATCCATTTCAAAGCAGGTAATCTGGATTCAGAAACTGGATTATAATGCAGTGTAGATTCAGTCTGAAGCTGGCCTAAAGTTATGCTAAAATTGGTATCATGAAACAGACAGAGAGTTGGACCCCACTTGAACTGCTTTGGCTCAAAGGTATGGAATCCTGGGAGTTCTAGTTTAACAAGGACTTTAGCCTTTTCTATGAATATAAAGAATATGTATATCTCGGTCAACAAGTGCAGTCAAATAATTTGGCAAATGGCGAATGGGCGAGAAGATGCAAGGCAGCTTTTAATTGAAACTAGAAAGTGCTAACAGATCCTAAACTTCCAACAGTCAGAGCAGATATCTTCAACACTACAGTTTTACCAGCAACCTGAAACATGGGCAACAACAAAGAGGAGGAACAACTGGCGGTGACTCAGAGAGCAATGGAAAGAAAGATGTGTGGCACGACAATAAGAGATAAAGTCAGCAATAAAGAGCTGCGTCAAAGAATCGGGGTGCATGACGTGGTCAATGAAATCTATCAGGCTAAAAGAAAATGGGCAGGGCATGTAGCACAAAGACAACAGATGGACATGTTGACTCATGAACTGGATACCAAGAAACCACAAGCAGCCCTTGGGCAGACCTGGGATGTACCAATGGGTCAGCTATTAGGCCAGAAATGCAAAAGAAAAGCACAAGATGGTATATTTTGGCAAATGGTAGATTTGCGTGAAGCCCAAAGGAGTAGATTGAAGACAAATTGGATGGGATAGGATTAGCCTTCTTTGCCAAAAGAGATGTTGGTGTCTCACCAGACTACAGGAATCCAGAGCACTGAGCCATAGCAGTCCAAGTGCGGTCAAACTGCATTCGTACTACAGCCTCAATGCACCTTCCATGAGTTGATACAAATATTTCAAAATCAGAAATCCAAAACACTTCTGGTCCCAAGCATTTTGGGGGAAAATACACTACAAAATATATTTTTAGGGCTACCATCCATTTCCAAGGTGAGCAGGAAAACACCAGATCCTTTGTCACTAAGATGCTATATTTATTCTTCCAAAAATGGCCTCGGCTCCATTTTACAGCCTTACATTTCTCAGCCTGGAGTGTCCCCTTTTCCTGTTGGATATACAATATCTATGTAGGTTTTAGTACAAAATCAATTGTTTGTGGCAAGCTGGTTTGATTATACAGTATATCCTCTAATAGAAGACATCCTCTAATTTGTGAGTGACCAAAGTACAGCCTTTGGGAGGCATACAGCCCTCTAGACTGTTTTTATGGTGTCTGGAAATCATCCCCAGCCCTTCAAGTGTGTCCTCATATTTGCTAATTGCATCCCTAGAAATCTCCAAAAATACAGCATTCCAAAAATTCTCCATTTAATGAAAGAAAAATATATTGGAATAGGGGATATTCTTAACTTTTGGTTGATATAACTAAGAGAAAAGGGATGGTGGGCTATTTTTGGGAAAGGGACTTGGATGTTCCAAGTTGGCTGAGGAAGGATGTCAGGGATGTCACCCAAAGTTCCTTGGCAGAAGAACACTTGGCTCTGGCATAAATAATATATTCTGTTTTCATCTAAATTAGAAGGAAAGATAGGGTTGAGAGGGGTAAATATATGGAATTAGGTGTAAAAGCCATTTGGCTCTGTATGCTGTATATGAGGCACAGGCAGAAAAAGTAAAATATGAGAGGTGTTCTTGTGGATCAAGTATTGTATCTACAAAATGCCCCCAAAATGTTGAAATTACAAAGTAAAATTTAAGTGATGTTTGAAACTCCTTGCTTCGACAATGTGAGCAATGCATGGCTTCACAGGGGGGAAAAAATCAGCATTTAAAAAAGATTCCTTCAATGGATTATTGGCTATTAAAATTGATTCAGTTGACAGAGATGGATACACTCTTCTATATTGAAAGACAAATCTATTCAGAACTTCCAGAAATATTGAACACCACTTTTATTGTATTTGAACAAATAAAAAAGGATTAGGTCTTAACAGGTTTTGACAAGTTAAATAAACCCCCTTTTATATTTCAGTTTTATTTAGGAAAGTTAGCAAAGCAAATAGTTAAAGATGTTTTTTTAGTATATATTTAGTTATCCTGGAGTGACAATGGGGAGTCAATTAAATAGAATGTATAAAATAATAAGATGCAGCTACAAGAACTGTAAATTCATGCTTTATATATGTTTATATAATTACCATATATACTCTAGTATAAGCCAAGGTACCTAATTTTATCACAAAAACTGAGAAAATATTGACTTGAGTATAAGTTGAGGGTGTAAAATACAGCAGCTACTGGTAGATTTCAAAATAAAAATAGATACCAATAAAATTACATTAATTGAGACATTAGTAGGTAAAATGTTTTTGAATATTTACATAAAACTGTAATTTAAGATAAGACTGTCAAACTCGGATTGAACCATTATTCTAACCTTCTTGAATGTAAATGTGCTTACGTATCCTTCCAATAATAATAAAGTAAAATAATAAATGTAATAATAACAATAAGTAGAATAAAATAATACATGTAATAATAAATAGAGTAAAATAATAAATGTAAATAATAATAAAGAGGATGACTGTGTGTTTATGTGTTTATGCACCAGATACAATCAACTGCAAATAATATGATTTAAAGTGTAAATAATATGTGTGTGTTTCTAGCAGTATAAGATTCCATTATACAATTTATAAAATAAATGATTATGTTAAACATTGTTTATATTCCCAATGTACTTTATCTAAAACTAAACACCAAAAACTAACATATTATGAAGACTGGGTTGTTATATTATTCTAACGCATATGTCAGTTTTCAAATTAGTTCACTTTTTTAAAAAGATTTTTTTTCCATAGTCGTGGTTAGGGAGATGGAAAATGAACGGAAGAAGCCATTGAGTTACTCTCTTTCCCCTGCTGACTTTTTGTCAACATTTACGGATCCCTCTGACTTCCCTAGTGTCCCATCCTTCATTCCTCTTAATGGCTTTGTAGACAGCAGCAAGTGCCTGGCACGAGCCCGAATAAATGGCTATTGCATCTGTTTATGGAACAAAGTCTGTCTAAGAGCATACATGCAGAAAGTGACCTTTTAGGTCATGACATTTTTCAGGATTGAAATAAACAATAGGCAGTAATGTTTTGAGCTGCAGTGAACATTTGTTGTTCTTCTGTTATCACTAGAAGGGCAAAACCAGCATCATGTTCTGATTTGAATGTAAGCCAGAAAGAACATCATGTCACCCTGGTAGTATGGTAGTTTCTAAAGGCTCTGAGATGCAACCCACAACCATGATTCCTTCTTTCAACATTTTTTGGTTCTTGGTGATCTCACATGCCCATTTCATTGCTTTTCTGCATGACCAGTTTTGCTCTCTCTGCTTTGTTACCTGTTGGGCTTGTTTGCCTTGATATTCCACTTTGCATCTAGCATTTAGAAGGAATCATTCAGCTCACTTTGTTGTTTGAAAATAAGATCATATAAGTACCATGAAGAGTAAATAAAAATAACCTTTACTTGCTTAACCATGCCCCCAAAATAGACTCTAAATGAGATAAACACTACTGGAGGAACATATCTTGTACCAGGAGAGAAATACTACTGGAGGGCTATATCTTGTGTCGGGACCAGCTACAGAAGTTATTCCAATTTTAAATGACTGTTATGCCTGAGGTTCCCTGTCTTTTGCTTCTCAAACAATAGTGTAGTACGATCTGCAATATAAGTTGATTTAGGGATATCATGATGGTGAAAGTGGTAATTGTTTTTGGAAGGGATTAATTCAACCACCTCCTTGTCACAAGAGAACCACAATGCCAGAAGATCTCCACTTCTGTTTGCCTCAACACTCCATTCCCAATTTCCTTGTTGATTAGCTGAACAACCCTTTCCCTTTAGGAATCTCTTGGGTGAACTGAACATAGCTGAACTGATCATATCCCATCATGTTTGAAACTTTTGGCTATTCAGATGCCTTGGAATACAGTTCCCATAATCTTTTGCCATTAGTCAATCTGGCAAGGGCTTCTGGGAGCTGAAGTTCAAGACATCTGGGGGATCAAAGGTTTTATTCTCGCCATAAAAGAACCCAAGAAAGTTGAAAAGTCTAGGCAAAGAACTGTGAGTTTTAAAGGCTACTATTAAGTGCATACACACACACACACACACATATATATATATATAATCTTTACCCACACTGTATTATTTAATTGCGCTTTTTAAAACTATGACAATGCGTGGGTTTGTTAGCCTCCTTGAGTCTACATGGAGGGAAAGGTGGGATATAAATGAAGTAAGTAAAGAAGAGCAATGGGAGAACCACTGGGCCAGGTCTAAAATTCTCATCCATCTGTGGAGGTTCCTGGGCCCTGCCTTCTTTACCATTGGTAATTAGTGGTGGGGGAAACTTAGTATCTGGGAGATAACACTCAAGGAAAAATACTTATTTTGGTGCTGAAACAGGAATCCGGCTTCGACAGTTCAGAATTAGCCAGTGGTTGGAGGAACCACTCCTGAAACCATTGGTTGGGTGCCTCTGTCGCAGTCACGTCAAGTGACAAACAAAGCAAGGGATATGACTCAGCAGGCAATGACATGCGACAAAGACAAAGGCATGAAGTCAGCAGGAACCTTGAAAAGGAGGTATGAATTGGAGACAACATGGGAAGTAGTGTGGACTGGGGAAAGAGGACTTTGTTAGGGAATAGTCAAGGAGAATTCGAGGAAGAGAAGGCCAACCAGAGGAGTTTGTGGTGAGGGGCTGCAGGAGAAAGGCAGAGAAGCCAGAGTTTCAAGACTAGAGGACCATGATGTTTCCTTATTTAGCTTGACTCAGCAGGCAATAATATAATATAATATAATAATAATTGATTTCTAGTCTCGGTCAATAAAGTAATTGGGAATGAGAAGTTGCCTTCATGACTACTTTGCCACTGACTGGCTTTCCTTTGGGCCTTTCTTTCATTCTTTTCTCCTTAGCCCAGGCATGAGGAACATTGGAACTATTGGTGTGTATTTTAACAAGCTGAGAACCAATCTCCAAACTATCGCATACAATGACGAGGAGCCAGAGCACGAAGCTTGGAGAAGGTATGTAGAAAGAAAGAACATTGTGCTGGAATTCCTGCACTCTGACTTGAGCCTCCACGTGATCAAACGCCACCACAAACGGATTGACCTTCTCAAAAAGTGCTCCTATTACATCGAAATCTTGCCAAAGCACTTGGCACTGGGAGACCAGAACTATCTGATGCTACCCACCACCATGTTCCAACTGATAGACCCTTGGAGGTTTCAGAGGATGAAGAAAATAGGGACCATCCAAACCAAAATCCAACTGTTACTCCTATCTGACCTGTTAGAAGAGCTAGAAAGGGGTCGGGAGGAGCTGGTTTTCTTCCTGGAGACCTTGGACATGATGACTTTCCTCTCCAGATGGGACATTATCAAGCAAAGGGTGTCGAGCCTCTCCGAGAAGATGGATTATTTCCTTACTGTGTTGGTACCAGGAAAGTTGTATATCAAGCATCGCCTGGTGTCAGATGTTGGGATCACCAAAATCCCACACATCAGGCTCGTCCTGAGCACAAAAATGCCAGTGATGTTTGACCGAAGGGAATCGGTGGCACACGAGGACTGGGTGAGTCTCAAGTGGTTTGTTGCTAGCCAGCAGCCCCAGGTCGAACAATATGAACTCCGTTTTAAGCTGCTGGAGCCCAGAACTCCCCAAGAGCGAGTCCACTGTGGAATCAAGCCTGTCACCGCAAACACATGTGAAATTCACAACCTCCTCCCTGACCGTTTGTATAGGTTCACTCTCAAAAGAGCAGAGACTTACACGCTTGTTTATGAACAGTGGCACGATTCCATCCTGCTTAAGACCAAACCGTACCTTGAAGAAGAAATGGAGATTTCCATGTCTTAACCTTGGCTTTTCCCATCTTAGCAATTCGCAAGGAGTATAAAATAAGTTAAATTAAACACTTATTTTTAAAGTTTTTGGCATTAACAGCATGAGCTTTTTCTTGTCAAAGTGTAGATCTGACAGCCCTTAAGATGCCAAAAGAACCACTGCAGTTAGTAGGTCAAGCAAAATTGTGTCCTACTGACATTTCTCCCGGTGAGAGACCTTTAGAAGGTCCGTTCTCAGTGAGGGCAAGCGTTCATAAAGAATTTTCTTATCAAAAGGACATGACTTCAATTTCTAACAGATTTTTTAAAAATACTATAAAAATACTAAAAAGTGATTCCCAAACTGTGAGGCATGACCCTCAAGGGATGTGATAGTTGCACAAGGGGGAGGGGACACAATAATTATTTTGGACATTAAATTATTAGTCTGCCCTCAATTTTAATGAAAGTAAGAGGCACAAGACTGTCATGAAAGTGGGGAAAACTGAATATAGCCTCCTGTATGGTCGAGTTCTTCCTGGGCTCCTGTCATCTGTTACTTGCTCATTCAGGCAGAAAGAGGAAATGGGACAGGAAGAATTGGAAGAGAGCGGAAAACTTAGGGAAAGGAAGGTAATGAGAGAAGAGAGATTTTCTATACTGATTATTCAGTAACTTGCTCCAGATTTGCAGCACCAGCTCCACAGTTATGAGAGGGCTTTCCTCGTTTCCTTCCTATCTCATAGAGTTGGAAGAGGCCTCGTGGACATCCAGTCCAACCTCCTGCCAAGAAGCAGGAAAATCACATTCAAAGCACCCATGGCAGATGGCCATCCAGCCTCTGCTTAAAAAACCCCCAAAGTTGTAGCCTTCACCACACTTCGGGGCAGAGAGTTCCACTGCTGAACTGCTCTCACAGTCAGGAAGTTCTTCCTCATGTTCAGGTGGAATCTCCTTTCCTGTAGTTTGGAAGCCATTGTTCTGCGTCCTAGTCTCCAGGGCAGCAGAAAACAAGCTTGCTACCTCCTCCCTATGACTTCTCCTCACATATTTATACATGGCCCTCATCATGTCTCCTCTCATACTTTTCTGCAGGCTAAACATGCCCAGCTCTTTAAGCCGCTCCTCATAGGGCTTTTTCTCCAGACCCTTGATCATTTTAGTCACTCTCCTCTGGACACATTCCAGATTAGAGTCAACCATAATTGGACAGAGTGTGATTTCAGGTATGGTCTGACCAAGGCAGAATAGAGGGGCAGCATGACTTCCCTGGATCTAGACACTAGACTCTTATTTATGCAGGCCAAAATCTCACTGGCTTTTAAAGCCAATGTTGGCACATGTTTAACTTGTTGTCCATTTATTGTTGTTGGCCCATGTTTAACTTGTCTCGCTTCCTCATAAGTGCACATACTGGAGAAAACAATGGAGCTCTAAGTATGCCTGAACTGTGGATATCCTGTGTTGACTATCCTCTTCTCTCCTTCCTTCACCACCACCCACTTGCAAAGATTCCCTGCTCCCATGATATAAACAGTGCCTGAATCTGCCTTCAGTAGACTGGAACCAACCTATTCTATCCAGTGCTTCCAGTGCTTTTTCTATCCTCTTCCAATTCTGCCAGGCCCAGTGGCAACTCCTGCTACTGTCTTTGCACACGCAGTGGGAGAATTTCCATTCCCGTGCTCCTCTTCTTGCATCCATCCTGAGAGTATACATTGCAAGGTGCAATGATCTGACTTTTCTGCTGGCTTCCAAAATATTTCTATATACAAACCAAGTTGGGGTGTGTGTTGAGGTCCACATGTGGTAAAGGGGAGTCACAGAGGTAAAAACTGTGAGAACAATTTGCTTGCATATAGAGGAATGTAGCAGCTGTAATATAAATAGCAGACACCAAATTCCCAGTGGACCAAATACTTAATATGTCAGGTTAGTTGTCAATATCAAGATGGCGTATTTATCTGAAAGACCAAGAGCATTTATCGGTCCTGTTACAAGGAGACCTTGAGTGAAATGCACATAGAACCCCAACAGCTTTAACTTTTCAATAGTTGTAGTTCATCACATCGAAAATAGTATCAGGTGAATTGGTGACATACAGCAGTCTGTGTCACCAATGGGTATCATTTATTACTTTTGCAAGGCAAAGATTTATCTTATTGGGCTCTTGATTTGTGCAAGATCTGTGTATGTTTTGAGTATCTCTAGATTTTCTAAGATTCTTAGATGGAAGCATTATATTTTACAGTCTGCAAATAAGCACCACTTGATTGATATATGATCTCATTATGAGGTTATGGTTTCAAAGACCTAGGAAGAACCAATAATGGTGTCAAGGAGATTTAAGCTACTTTAAGAGGATATTGACCTTGAGGAACAACACTTAAAGAGAACACTGCTCAACTTAATTTTAATTTTATACTAAAAATTAATTCACCCCAACAAATGCCACATCCATACAGCAATGTGCCAGAAAGTAGCCAATAATACATAATCTTTATAGATGGCATAAGCTGATATGTATCACTCACTGACCTAATTAATGTAGCTGAACTGCCATGGCTCAGTGGTGTGGAATCTCAGGAGTTGTAGTTTGCTGAGACATCAAACCTATTTGGCTGAGAAGGCAAAGTACCTTGTAAAACTACAACTTTCATGATTTCAGAGCATTGAGCCACAGCAGTTCAAGTGGTGTCAGTGCATTACTTCTACAGTCTAAATCAGTGTTTCTCAACCTTTCTAATACCGAGACCACTTAATACAGTTCTTCATGTTGTGGTGACCCCCAACCATAACATTATTTTCATTGCTACTTCATAACTGTAATTTTGCTACTGTTATGAATCATAATGTATCTGATATGCAGGATGTATTTTCATTCACTGGACCAAATTTGGCACAAATACCCAATACTCCCAAATTTAATACTGGTGGGGTAGTATTGAGGGAAGATTGATTTTTTTCATTTGGGAGTTGTAGTTGCTGGGATTTATAGTTCACCTACAATGAAAGAGCATTCTGAATTCCACCAACTATGGAATTGAACCAAGCTTGGCACTCAGAATTCCCATGACAAACGGAAAATACTGGAAGGGTTTGGTGGGCATTGACCTTGAGTTTTGGAATTGTAGTTCACCTATGTTCAGAGAGCACTGTGAACTCAAACAATGAAAGAGCTGGACCAAACTTGGTATGAATAGTCAATATGCTCAAATGTAGACACTGGCAGAGTTTGAGAAAAATAGACCTTGACATTTGTGAGTTGTAGTTGCTGGGATTTATAGTTCATGTCCAATCAAAGAGCATTCTGAACCCCACCAACGATAGAATTGGGCCAAACATACCACACAGAACCCCCATGCCTTGAAGGGACTCGCTGGTGCTACTCTCCCTCCAGCCTCGCATCCTCTCCCTCACCCGCACATGTGCACCACGCTGCCATGCGCTGAGCACGCCTGCTTTCCCCTCCCTGCTTGGAGTCTCAGAAACAGCCCTCCCCTTGACTGAGGGGCTCGCTAATCGCCATGGAGGATGGCTTTTGGTGGGAGGATTTGCTGTCTGTTTCCAGAAAGAATGAGAAGGACAGGTGGAGAGATCTTCAACTGTCTCTACCAAAGGGGTTCCTAAGACCATCAGAAATATATGTTTTCTGATGGTCTTTGGCAATCCCTCTGAAACTCCCCTCAAGACACCATCCAGAGATCCTGAACCCCAGGTTGAGAAACGTTCATAGAAACATAGAATCAAAGAGTTGGAAGAGACCTCATGGGCCATCCAGTCCAACCACATTTTGCCAAGAAGCAGGAAAATGACATTCAAAGCACCCCCAACACATGGCCATCCAGTCTCTGTTTAAAAGCCTCCAAAGAAGGAGCCTCCACCACACTCTGGGGCAGAGAGTTCCACTGCAGAACAGCTGTCACAGTCAGGAAGTTCTTCCTCATGTTCAGATGAATCTCCTTTCTTGTAGTTTGAAGCCATTGTTTCATGTCTTAGTCTCCAGGGAAGCAGAAAACAAGCTTGCTCCCTCCTCCCTGTGGCTTCCTCTCACATATTTATACATGGCTATCATATCTCCTCTCAGCCTTCTCTTCTTCAGGCTAAACATGCCCAGCTCCTTAAGCCGCTCCTCATAGGGCTTGTTCTCCAGACCCTTGATCATTTGAGTTGCCCTCCTCTGGACACATTCCAGCTTGTCAATATCTCTCTTGAATTGTGGTGCCCAGAATTGGACACAATATTCCAGGTGTGGTCTAACCAAAGCAGAATAGAGGGGTAGCATGACTTCCCTGGATCTAGACACTATGCTCCTATTAATGCAGGCCAAAATCCCATTGGCTTTTTTTGCCGCCACATCACATTGTTGGCTCATGTTTAACTTGTTGTCCATGAGGACTCCAAGATCTTTTTCACACGTACTGCTCACACGTACTGTTGATCTAGATCCACCCAAAGAGAGATTTACCTTCTCAATTGACCTATGTACCCTTTGATCATAAATGCAGAAGTGCTTTTTGAGTGCTTAACAATTGTTCCTTAGGACAACTACAGCCCAAATCACTAATTCTATACAACAAGGCAAGGCGGAAAGTCATTCTTCTCCCTGCTTAAGAACAGTCCTCTGTCCTTCCTCCCTTTCCATAATCCCTCGCCCAGTTTATTAGCATAATGAGACTTTAGAAACAGATTTTATTTGATATCATACAAATAGTTTCACAATATTTAATTAAAAAGCAATCGCTCATAAAATAATGTAAACATTTTAAATCAGTTTGTTATTACAAAATTAAGACTCCGGAATTCATAGTGATGTAAAGCCAGTGTAGTGTCCAACTGTAGCAAGCAATAGTTCTATAAAAGCTACCGATTGAGTAAATCTGTTCTAGTTAAGATGAGTAATTATATTTATACCAGATATTCAACTATGTTTTACGTCTGTACCTCCCTATGAAAAAATATATAAAAATTCATTTTTTAAAAAGACGTTATTAAAGTTGAATCCATTAAAAATACAATTAAAAGTATTAATTAATTCGAGAAGCTGGCCACAGTACTACAATCTTAGTCCAGTTCATAGATAAGTGAATGTTTAACAATCCCAAAGTATACTCCCACAAAATAAGACAAGATGCAAGGCCCAATCATTTCAGTGGGTCTTGCTGTATCAGTTTGCGCTTCATAATATAGACATTATTATATAAAA